CACGCCGAAGCCCCCCCCAACCCGGTCTCCAAGCTAGTATGAAGGAGGGAGGGAGGAGATAGGGAGGAGCCTCCCTGTCCCTCACTTGCTCGTCACTGCTGAGGCATCGAGATGCCTCAGCAGTGACGTTTTTTTTTACTTTTTTTGATTGGACAACTTGGACTAATGGCGCTTTGCCATTGATCCAAGTCATTTACAGAGCTCACGCCTCTAACAAAGAGTAGAGGCTGTGACAGCTCTTGCCTCACTAGTTAGGCTACACAAGCAGTGGGGAAGCCAGCTGCTGTGTAACCTAACTACCTGTCAAAAGCTGGATGCAGCACTGCCTGTAATTAACAGGCAGCGCTCCGTCCATGACAGGTTACAGAGCGGGGAGGATTTCCTTGCTGTGTAACCTGCTAGAAGCCGATCTGAATGGAGAAAAAAGTCTGAAGCTGACAGCTTTTTCCTCCATAATACTAGGTGAGGCTCTGCCTCACCTGCCTCCCCTGACCGCACGTCCCTGCTGCAAAGCTGCTATACTTTTGTTTATAAGAAGAAAAGAAAGAATAAGAAGAAGCCATTTAGTTGAATTCTGGTAGTAATAAGTTTTGCTAGAAATGCAGCTCCCCGCCGTGTTCTTAGAAATAAGGTATTTCAGTAAATATCTTTCTAATGCAATTTATTTTTCTTCTCTAGCATTTTGCTTGACCTAGTTTTATTTGTCTTAAAATGAAAATAGAAGAGAAGCTGGTTTAGAATGATAAGAGAGGCAACAAAACCTTGCGGATTGATGTCGGTATCATATCATTTTACCGGGCACTTGAAAGCTGCTAATGCCACCATATTTTAAAACATGCAGCTATTTCTAGGAAAGTAAACAGTAAATGTTTCTTTCGCCTGCAGAAATGACACATTATTTCATAAATGATAAGGCTTTTGTCTAGTCACTCAATTTACATTCAGAACAAAAATGTAATTTGCTGCTGTTTTATCATTGTTTTGTAACTGTTTAAATAGTCTTGATATCATGCTAGTGGTGTCCAGTATGAAGAGCTTAGTAATGAGTACAGACCATGAAACAACAAAGTAAAATGCACAGCATAATGAAAAAAACCCAATACCAGTTACCTTAATTCACAGACTGATAAAGCAGACTAACAGGGTTAGTCACAAAAGGGTGAAGAGTGCAGAAGAAGGCAAGGCAGGAGAAGTGAAAAATCTAGGACAACATAGTTGAACTGGAAAGTGAGCTGAATTAGGGAATATTTCCATATCAGCTATGTTGTCCTAGATTGTTTACTTCTCCTGCCTTCTCCAAACTCTTCACCTTTTTGTGAATAACCCTGTAAATGTCATAGACATGAGATAATGATGATCCTTTTTGGGTACAAGCAGGAAAATACCAGACTCAGGTGATCTCAAGTTAAAGAGTATTGGCTGTATTCCTTTATTAAAGGTATCATATTTTTATGGTCCATGTATCTGTATTACATCTCCTGTTTTTACATACATAAACCTGCATGCGTGGACAACCCAAACGTGCATGTTTATGTGAAAGTTTTAAAAAAAATGCAACCCCCCCGCTTCCCCTCTGAAATGTGTGACTAGTATTACACAAAGGGGTCTATTCATGAAGCTGCTTAAGGATCTAGCCATAGCTTCGGCCGATCCTTCGGCTAGCTTCAGCCCCAGGACCCCTTTGGTTCAATAGAACCGAAGGGGTGCTGTACGGGCTATTCACTATAGCCCGTACAGCTCCCGAACATGGCTGAGCGGCTCAGTCGAGCCGAACGCATATGCCTCATCTCTGCTGACCGCTGAAAGCCAAAGCTGGCCGAGCCTGCTTCTGACAGCTGGGCGGAGCCAGCCGTGATCTTACGGCTGGCACCGGCCACTTGCAGAGAGAACAGCGTCCCTGGTTACCTGCTAACCAGGGACACTGATCTCCAGACAGCTAACTCTCCCTGGCGCTACGGGAGTCTCCCGCTCCCGGCCACCAAGGAGAGAAACACTGCTTTTTCGGAGCCGTGTCAGAATAGAAAAAAAAATGTTGCCAATTGGAATGCATTGCTAGATTCCTATTGGCTATTTCAATTTGCAATAGCCAATAGTAAACTAGCATTGTACCCGCCCTCTGCTGCAGTTCTCCATCAGGTCCATCAGCGGGTATAATGCTAGTTTACTATTGGCTATTGCAAATTGAAATAGCCAATAGGAATCTAGCAATGCATTCCTATGGGCAAAAATCTTTTTTTTCTATTCTAACACGGCTCCGTCCAGTTTTTTTTTATGGACAATAGAAAACTGTTGGGCGGAGCTAGCTGTTATTGCTAGCTCCGCACAATCGTTTTCTATTTACTTTTTGTACTTTTTAAACTATTTTTCTGTTCTGCTCGGTCCATCTGAGGGACCGAGCAGAACAGCCGAGCCGAATGCCACTCAGCGGCATTCGGCTATTCACTCACTGCTGTTCGGCATCTATAAGAATAGGCCGAACAGCAGTGAGTAGCCTGCCGGAGGTTCGGCTCAGCCGATGCAGATGTTGGATCGGCTGAGTCAAACTCCTTCTGCACTTCGGGTGAGCCGAACATGCTAGGCATTTTCGGCCGACCCGAAGCCATGCAAAGCAAGCCGCTGAAATCAGCCGTACAAGCCTGAACAGAATAGCCGAACAGTGTTCGGCTCACTTCACTTGGGGTCGGTTGTTCACTCGGCTGTCCTCGAATAGACCCCAAAATCTCCCTTTGCTTAAAGTGGAACTGTGGGCAAAATAAAAAAAATCACATACTGTACATGATGCAGTCAGTAGAATTAATACTTTTTTTGGTTTTCTGTGTCCCCACCTTAACATAGTTTTTTACCTGTTGATCCTGCCAGTAGATTCATTATTTTGTAACTTTCTGTGACAACGCTGCTCATTCTGCAGTACGATCAAACAACAGTGTTGCCCTCTGTGTACAGGGTAACCTTAGATGGTCATGTAGTGTTAAATAGACTTCAAGTAAACAACAAATAAATTAACCCCTTCATGTCCCTATACTGTAAATTAATGCAATCCTGGCAAATTCTCTGTACCAGGAGGCCATTAATAAAGTCTAGTATTTTTAGCTGCTGCACCCTCTGATGATCACCCTGATCTCCAGGAGAAAGGAAATTTGATTGGCAACCATTCTGAGTGGTTGGTTACCCCTTGCACTGCTAATGCCATAGCTGTGTTTAGGCAAAGCGGTAAAAGGACAAAAACAAACCCTATTGTAGCTGTGGATTTCTTTTATTTTATTGCTTCAGCAGGGTCACATTTATTGCAGAAGTGGCCATACAGCCACCAAATCACTTCTACACATCAGCAGGTAAACGATCTGGCAAGTGCCTGCTGGTTCCTAGGCTCACCTTGCTCCTCTGTGAACCCAAAACCCCATGGAAGGCAGTCAGGAAAGCAGGGTGGCCGGAGGTTATTGGGGAACAGCTGTCGGATGAATACGCAGATACGGGACTCTCTGTGTTTGATCAGTTTGAACTAGTGGCACAGGTAACATCAGAGGTCTGCTGGGGGAAATGAAAACACCTCCAGCAGTGTTATATGGTGAGTCTCAACCCTTGTAAATGTCACTTTTGTTAGACATAGTGGCTGTGGCAAGTCGGCAGACCTGGGAGGAGAGATCTTGCTCCATGGGACCAAAAGACCTGACACCTAAAGCAATTAAAGAAACCAGCAGGAAATTCAACTTTCAGTTGGACAGGAATGATAACTTGCCACAAATTGCAACTATTCTTCACTCTATAAAAAAATTATGTTTCTGCACGAGCTGAGACTTATGACCCGTTTACACGGTCCAAAATGGGAATGTAATCGTACTGTATGCCAACGGAGGGTCCATTGACTTGCAATTGTATCTTCCAATTTCCTTCCAATCCATTGGGTTGTTATCTGTTTTTTGAATTCAAGAGCACTGAAAAATGAATGGGTGTGAATGGGGCTAGTTTACACCGCTGTGATGTGTTCGATTGCCCCGGAAAAAAAGATGTGCATGTTGTACTGTTTTTCAGGGCAATGGTGTGCAATGGAAAGCAACAGAATGGAGCAGTGGGACCTGGTCCCATTCACACCCATTCATTTTTTAGGTTACCTTCTGATCGCATCTGTTGAAAAACGGATCTGGCGTGAATGGGGCCCTGATCTCCAACTTCTGATTTCTATGCCCAGCTCTTAATACCCATATAAAAACTAAGATTCAACGTATATATATTTCTACATTTACACTTTTATTTGAATTTTAGAGCTAGTTAGTACCTGCAAAACAATATGTAAAGAAACAGATTCTTTAAGAGAAGAGAGAATTGACCTACTGCTTCACTGTAGCATTGTAACAGAGACCCAATTCTTTGTTGGAAAGTAAGTTCCTGATCAACAGAAAGGGTGCCTGTTGCTAAGGTTGTAAGGTCATACTATACATACTATACAGTTGAAGAAGTACCATTACTTTACATATGAGAACCTGCCATGCACAAAGTTCCCCTGCTTTGTAGGAGAATAAGGCTATGACTTTTTCACTGAAGTGAATATTTACATAAAAGAAGATTTCAAAAACCCTAAAGATATTTGAATCTTCACTGTTTCCAAAAGGATTTGAATTCTGAAGAAGGACGTGTGAGATCATCTGAATTAACCTGTGAGGCCCAGAAGTGAAGGTTAGTTCATGGCTGTAGAAAGATGGGATGAGTCTTAGATGCCCCTGCTCAGAAAACCCACTAAGTGGTACAGCATGTTGGTTGAGCATACAGACTGAGTGTACAGCCCTGAAAACTTCTATGTGGTCTAAGCTTTGACGGTGTCTGTGATGTTACCATTTTGCCACTCATATAGCTTTGGGAAGAACACTGAAGGTCTCCCACTGTTAAAAAAGGTCTTACAGATACACCCTTTCATACTGCAAGGAAGCATGACTTTCCCCTTTTTGAGGTACTACTTTGACTGTATTTTACTAGTACACTAATATAGAAAAAAATGTGTGACTTACCACAGTTATCTTCATCTGCTTGATTTCCACACTCATCAATTCCATTACAGTGCATTGACTGAGGTAGACACTTTGTGATATTGCCACAAGGGAAGTATCCAAGAGGACATAAGACTTCTGAATACACACTTTCTGCTGATGCAACTAGTGAAAGAGAAAGAAGTTGTGGTTTACGTTTACATGTACTGTATTTGCTATAAAATAGATACATTAACTGATGCTGCAGTTATAGAAACAGCTTCGCTCATCATTGTACTTCTAAAGTGTGTCTGATGTTCAGCTACTGACAATACTATAGTGTGCAGTATACATAACATTTTATTCAGTTGACCATATCCATTGTCTCCATCCAAAAGGCACCATCTACAAGGTTTTATATCAGGTTATATTTTAGTTCTACATTGGCCAAACAATTCTATATTGATGGGACTGGAACTTGAGCTAATGGTATAGGATTACTGTATCTTAGATATACTTTGAAAAATATTTAGTTGTTATGGTTGAAATGACGCACAGGGGCTAGCTTTTATAAACTAAAGTAGAGGGAAAGAAAATAGTGCAGTCAATGGCAATCAAATATCTAGTTCACATGATCTTGCACCTACATACATGAGGGCTAATTTGTATTTCTGTCTGATAATGTCTGCAGCATGTTTGGATTTATCAGAAAATTTGTAGGTTGCATTTCACAAATATAAATATGTTTGGTTAGATTTTGAGCCCACCACGCTGTTACCTGTCTCATCCTTAGCCACATTTTTGCACAATAGCATATTTTTGACATTACACATCAACAGATTTGAGATTAAACTATGCCAGACATGTTCTTAAATTTAAGCACAGCAATTTCTTCCAGCTGCTCTGCCTGCTTAACTTTTCATTAAACTGTACATCATTTTTATTGCACTACAGAAAAATACTTCTGTAAAAAAACATCTGTGAATGATAAGTCAGTCCATGTTTCTTGTTAGCATTTGGATCTGGAAAGGAATACTTCTCAGTGTCAAAATAGGTACTGTGTTTATATAGGCAATGGGTGCATAAATTACTATCAACAAGCTAAGCTGCTCACTCTTATTAGGGTAAACAGTGATGTAATTTATGAACAATGAATGGCCTTGGAACAGATGTCATACTAACAAGGGCATGGCCTATGCTCCAGGGAAGTGTGAAAAGCCCACCTATGCATCCAGCAATCTCTACTTATAGGGGTCATCCTGCTGATTCCCAGTCATAGCTACAGTTTCTCTTTTTGCTGAGTGTTCTTTCTGTGCTCTACTTGAGTACCAATAAGGGCTTATGATGACAGCCTTTTTGGAGGCCACTCAATCACTGTTTGCATAAGGATATACCTAGTGCTGCTGGAGCACCCCCCACCCATTGATCAATTAACCCTTAGCAGCAGTGATTTTATTGTGTGCACTTGGGTGGTCTTTTAGGGATGAGCAGGGTGATTTGGGCATTATTAATCTGTCAGCAAAATCCCCAACGGGGACATTTTGCTGAAATGGAAACTATCAGTTTTGCTTAAGTGAAATTTGCCTGAAAATATTTTTTATGTTTATTTTATTTAGCGTGTCTGTTTTGGGGTATATTTAGGGTAGTTTAGTTATTATATTTAGGGTTTTTGTATGTGTATGTTTTTTTCCTTTTTTTATGTATTTGATCATTTGTTTGTACTGTCACTTTATATTTTCAGGCCGAAACCAAATTTTTTTTCTTTCTAGCCATTTTAAATTTGTAAAAAATACTTGTTTTATTATTTTTTTTCTGAACTTTTTACATTTTTTAGATTTTATTTAGTTATTTATTTATTTATTTTTATTAAATATTTTTATTTTTTAACTTTACTGCTGGGGGCTTCGGTAAAATATTAGTGGTCTAAACAGACTCCTGATCTTTACCTTTTACAATAGAAAAAGAGATTAAGGATGCAGAGTCCTCAATATCTTGTTCTGCAGCCCCTATTATAAATGAACAGGAAGCCTCTATGCTGAGTGTTCTTGTTCATTCATAAATTGTGGATATAGTATGAGTTATCATGTCCACAATCATGAAAGAATAGGAGGTGATGTAGATCACTCCTATTCATTCATAACTGGTTATTTACAAACATTCACTCTTAAAATCAGAGTTGGGCAAAAGTGTTAATAAGCAACTTATGCTTAAAATCTGGAGGTTGTCACACATAGAGTTGAATCAATAAAGTTTATAAAAAGTTGAAAATAATCAAGCACTGCAAAGTGTTTTTTTTACATTTTTATTTCTTTTAATATTATTTTGACAGTACTGTCACCAGGGGGCTTCGGGGAAGTGTCAGTGGTCTAAACAGACCCCTTGAGGTAGAGAAAGAGACTGAAGACAGGAGTCTTCAATGTCCTCCTCTGCTCTCCAGCACTCACTGAATCTGGAGATGCTCAGTATTGAGGACTTCCATGTTCATTCACAAACTGAGGGAATGCAGCTACCATAGGGGCTAGTGAGCCAGACAGCTGCAAGCAGTTCTCCTCTGTCATAAACTTTCAGCCAGTGGCAGTAAAAGGGTTGAATGAATCCCGGAATCAGAACTGGAAGGTACGAGTTCTAACTACTTGGGATGATATTTGTGGTCTCTACAATCTAAGGGTCAGCTTGAGTTTTGTCTAAAAATTGTGTAACCCCTCAACAAAAATTGAATGACCTTCCATATAGGAAGGTTGAACTTGATGGAGTTGTGTCTTTTTTTCAACCTGACTAACTATGTAACTATGTGGAGAGATATTAAACATGAACTGAGCATTTGCTTTATCTATAGTACTTCAATGCCAAGAGCCAAGATAAATAAGAAATTAATACTGTTAATATTTCTAGGCAGTTCCCATCACCTTGATTTAAGTTTGAAAATGCCTTCCTAAATTGAATGTTCAGCAGCACTTTCTGTCTGACATACCTTTATGACTCAGAAATTGTTGAAACAGTGTGTGGGCTTGAAAATTAAATGTAGCTTATCTTGACATTTTTTCAGTTACGATGCTAATTCCAATGGTTATATAACAAAAGTACGACAAAATGCTTCAAATCTTCTATTTTTTTTAGAAATACTGTGTGTGGTATATACACTTCATAAAAAGATGGTTACATAAAGCAGTTTGGTAAAGTGGGATTGATTATGTGCTTGAATTTAGAAGTTTGGTGGAGATAAATGTGCATCTTAAGCATCATAAGCATTGTGAGATTGGCTGGGTCTGTGACCCTTATAAATGCTTTATGCTTCCAGATAAGAGGAATCTATGACGACGACATTAATATAGTAATGTGCTATGCAGAGCCCTATTTAAATATGTATATTACTGTACAGTGAGTTAATGGTCAACCCTTTGAGATTTGAGAACTTGCATTTAATAATCAAGGCTATAGCATTTCTAAAGGAAAGAAAGTTAAATATAGATTATTTGGTCTATGATGAAGCTCTTTGGGAACATTATAAAATATTTTAACCTATTGGATACAGCATAGTAGGAGTAATAGAATGTAAAATCAGAGATAATATATTGACTGTTTTATCTCCCATATCAGTATCTCCTCTGTATGCAGTAATATTAAGAGAGACCATGGGTATACTAAGCTCTAAGAATTGCAGGGGAGTACTTTATATACTTTATTGTTTTTAGCAATATTGTTCTTCAATCAAATCAAGTGTGGTGACCTGGCTTTTGTAGGCGATTCTCCCAATTAATATGTCTTATAACATTTCCTGAACCATTTGCTTGACATTTCCTTGTAACTCTACAATACAGACAACATTGTGATAGTGCAAATGCATTACAGTCTCTGTTATTACTACATAATAACTGACACCATTTCAAGCTTTGTCTAAAACTCTGATATTATGTTATGTATCACATTCCCTAGTAAAACTGTTTAGGTTGCTTACTTTTTGCAATACAATATTTAAAAAGTAAAATGTTTGTAT